TGTAAGGCATGTCTTCGCAGTTATCATCAAAAGTGTTCGTCACTGAAGAGAAGTCCGTCGGCTGTCGACAACCGGTTGTGTCCCGAATGTACGGACATAATGAAGGCCGAGGAGGAGACCAATCGGTCGGGTTGTATGCAATGGTTGAACGGAAATGTCGACGATTTGTCGGAACTGTTGAAGTATACGATCGAAACGGTGAGAGCGGCCGACAAGAACTGTTCCTTCTATGAACCCGTTTCCACACAACTATACCCCGAATACCGCAATCTAATCGTCAATCCAATGGATTTGAGTCAAGTCGACAGTAATATCAAAAACAAAACCTATGCCTCGACTAACAGTTTCTTAGCCGACATTAAATGGGTATTCAATTGAATGCTTATTAATTTAATTATCAATTAATATGACTTTAATTATCGTCAGATTTTTCACAATTGCATTGTCTTTAACTCCGGAGTAAATAACGCATTGATCTCTGAAGTGAAGAATATCTTAAGAGTGGCCAAACAGGAGTGCGAAGAGATCGAGATCTGTCCGGACTGTTACTACAACTATTACACTATGGAAGAGGACAACTACTTCTCGGCGGTGTGTCGTCGACCGCATGCCATCGTTTGGGCCAAACTTAAAGGCCATCCCTATTGGCCCGCAAAAGTGATTCGTTATAATGAGGTCAGAAACGAAGTGGACGTTCGCTTTTTCGGAACCCATGATAAGTGAGTTTATTATTTATTTTGTCCATTGTTTGAAACCAATTTCAAATCAATTTTGATTACCGTTTAAATTTCAATCAAATCGATTTGAAATGTATTCTTGTATTGAAATCCATTCAAAATCAAATGGTTTTCAATCGATTATATTGTGTCTCGAAAACGATATTTCAATTGGAATCCAATATAAAATCGATTTTCCAAATGGTTTTGATATAATAAAATGGATTTACGCATGCCATCGTTTGGGCCAAACTTAAAGGCCATCCCTATTGGCCCGCAAAAGTGATTCGTTATAATGAGGTCAGAAACGAAGTGGACGTTCGCTTTTTCGGAACCCATGATAAGTGAGTTTATTAGTTATTTTATCCATTGTTTGAAACCCATTTAAATTTCAATCAAATCGATTTGAAATGTATTCGACATAACTTTAGGTAAGTTTTAGTTTACCAAAAGTTAGCTAATATAACACAGAGCTTTTGCTATAAAGTTAACCTTAGGTTATATTTTAGCTAAAAGGTTTACCAAAACTATATTATTTTACCTAAAGAGAATTATCTCTTGAATTGGTTAATGTGTTTAATGTTTGGTGCGTTTGTTTGTCCGCCGCCCAGATGTTGGCTGAAACCCGAGAAGTGTTTTATGATATCTCAGAATTACCCGAATAACAAGAAGCCGACGAAATTCGATCAAAACAAATTCGATGAAGCGATTCGAGACATGAATCGACACGTGGATCAGTTGGAGGAGAAACACGCCGGTAAGTTCTCCTTCCACGACAAACACGTGGTCTTCACTGTCGATCAGTTGTACTTAAATGAGAACCCAATGGCCACTCAACGAGCCGTTGAATTTGATTCACACGACAAACTCAATGGCCATAAGAAAGTGTTGAACTCTTATAACGGAATCGCATACAAGACACTGAAAGTGAAGACATCGAAATTCGATGTCAGGAATCATTTGAAGGACTGTCACGACAGCGCAGAAGAACACAAATCGCCACCAATTAAGCGCTTTAAACACAATGAACTCAATGTATCGACAAAAGCACAAACAAATCGATGTCTTTCCCAATCGATTGGCGTTCGACAAGAATTAAATTCTTCCATCGAATCCGACAACTCTTTGTTTGAGTCAAGGAATGACTTGAAATCGGACTCACATTTCGATTCCAATGCTAACAATTGCAAAGATTTGGACGAAAATAATCGACGCTTTTCTTTCACTCACAAAGACGACATCCAATCAAACCATTCCTCATCCTCTGTATTATCCAAATCCAAGACATACACCGTTTCTGGAAAGTCATCGGAAATTATAAATATTGACAAATCAGTGGCTATTGAATCGAATAGCATTGAAATGGATTGTAATATTGGCTCAAATAAGTCGAAAACATCCCTTTCTAGTCCATCAAAGGATATCAATTTGATCTCAAATACGGTAATTATTTTTAGTGTAAAAGCATTTGGGAATAACTAGAGTTATGGAACAGTTAAATGAGTTTGATTTAGACACATCTATATGTCATATCAATGGATAACTTAAGTGACCGATGACCTAGGCCATTTGATTTAGTATAGTTATGCCTTGTTTCAAATGTGCAATTATGGACAACATTGGAATACAGGGCAGTTAAAGCATTGCTATGAACCCTATATAGAGGTGATTCCAATCGGTTATAAACATAAGCACGAGTCGTCTCTGCATTTAGTTATCCATATTTAATATGCATTTAAGTCTCATTAACAATCCAGATAATTTTACATATGTTATTGACACATAACTTTACTTCGTTAATAAAATTGTCTTCCTGCTCAGCTGCCTTTTCTCAAACTTCTTCTTTGATTTTTGTAACCTTAAGTTCTATCGAAAACTGGAGGAAGAGAACAATGAGATCAACATTAAGATGAGTGCTTTGGAAGAGGAGAACGAAGACTATAAGCGGACAAACGAGGAGTTCGAGAAAAGCATTGATGAAATCAAACGCAAGCAGTGGTGCACTAATTGCCTCAAAGAAGGTTTGTTTGTATGACCAATTGGTTAATTGATTGAATTGCCAAATGCCTAAATGTGCCGTCAATTGTAGCCATACTGCCGTGTTGTTGGAATACGTGCTATTGTACGGTCGAGTGTCAGCACAAGCATTGGAGCCTACATTCAAAGACATGCCGTCGACGACAACCTAAATGAACATTATTTTAAACGCTTTTACCGTTCCTCACACTTTGGTTCAAAAAACAAACCTTTTATTAGTATTAAAAATGGCCTCAAAAGTTGGTTTGTATATTATTATAATATTTTATTTAAATTGTAAGCAATGTGTTGATGAGAAGTGCAATTTTTATCACAATTCGTTTAAATATCAACACATTTCTAATACATTTCATTACATTGTAAACAAATTCATATAAATTAAACATTCATTCACTACTCAATAACACATCTCTTATTCACACATAGAGTAGTAAAGAGACTCAAATTTTATCGAATGCTGTATTTTTGAAATAAATTAAATTAAATAGACATTTATTTTATAAAAACGTTATAAAAACTAATAAAATTTTTATCACATCTATAAAATTAATTATTTTAAATTATTGCATATCTAATACTGTAACTCTTCAGTACCAGTACTGTAGAGTACAAACAGTAATTGATAGTGAAATGTACGTACGTGTAAGGATGGGGGCAATAAAACATTTGTATAATACCGATACATGTCCACTGATACTGATAAATGCTCATGGCAAAAGTGATGGTGTTAACTATTGACAATATTTGTTAAAAATAGACAAATTTCATCTTAACTTATTATATTTTTTTCAATTTATTTAAAAATTTAAATGTATATCTATAAGTATATATTTAAAAGTAATTATATCTAGGCAAATATCTAATATTTTAGCTCATAAATTAATTCATAGATTCACATAGCCTATAGAGTAGCATTAGCTTATAGTTCTTAAACATTGTATGTAATAATACATGAATAAGTTATTATTCAGAATAATATTAATACAATGGTACATGGAATAATGCACATCTTTTATGCCATCGTGTATTATGCCATCCCTAACAATTATATGTCACTCGTATTGGATTTCAATTGCTGTTTGGTTTGGCAACAAATCTTAACCATATTCTCACTATATTTATATTATGGTAATAATAATAAATACGTTTTTAATAATTTAGAAATGATTTAATGTTAAATTGTGTTATATTAGAGGAATACAAATATTGAAATATAAAAATTGATTTCAAGCGAGAAATGAGTTATAAAGATATATAAACTTTGTCGTGAGCTCTCTTTTGATGAACTTCGAGGTGATTACTATTGGTTGTCTTGTAATCGCAATTTGCAAAATCACAAAACAACAGCATTTTATTGCTATGAATGTTGTTATGCCTCAATTGGTGTTCAACTGAATTCCAATCGTAGTTATAATCAGTTTTCATATCAATCTCGTAAAACATGTCTGAGTCTAATAAAACATCACTTTCTACTCGATTAATGTCTGTATTGTTGTTATTATTGTGGGATTGATTTGAATGCCATATCATATGTTCTCGTAAATGATTCGCGTCTTCAAACCGAAGACCACATTCAGAGCAAACTTTTCTGCTCTCGTTGTGAATCGACTGATGTCTAAGAAAGTGAGTTCTGTTTGTAAAAGTGAGGCCACAGTCGGGCCACTGGCAGGTCAGCATTGACTGGCTTTTAGCCTCTATCGCCGGCTTCTCATCCATAGGCTCTTCAATGGACTCTTCAATGCGCTCTTCAATGGGCTCTTCATTAGGAATCTTGTCATTTGTTTTCATTGATTCACTTGTAATATACTTATGAATACTTATGATGTGTTTGTCACGAGTTTTCTCAATTTTGTATCGTTTGCCGCAATAATCGCAAACATATTTCTTTAGCGCTTTCTTTTGGTCCGCTTTAGACTCGAGTGGAGTGTCTAATGAACTGATCATATCATTCATGCCATTCATAGCATCGGTTGAGCAGCGATCAGTTGAGACAATCTCTGCCATCATTTGGTCACTTAATGGCGTCGAGTTCGGTATAGGAGTTGATCCGTCATTAGACGTCTCGTTGATATTGATTTCAATACATTTGGTACTCTTATCGTCAATGATTGCATCTGAGAAGCCATTAACGCCGTTAACGCCATTACAGTCTATCAATGGATTCAATGGATTCACTTGAATGTCATTATGAGCTCTGTTTGGACACAACAAGTCATTCGTGTCGTATTGAGTGGACATCTCTGTGGGAATCACAACAAATCAATTCATGTCTTCATATGAGAGGAATGCAAACCTTTGAACAGTTGACTGACGATGAGGTCATCAAAAGGAGGTCTCGGGAGAGATATGTGGAGAGATTTGTCACATTTGGAGATCAGTTGGATTTGAGACAAGAGATGGCTTTGAGTTGATCTCAATTTGGTTTCCATTTGTTGACGACTTCTTCCATCCCTTAAGCCATTGATTTGAAGGCAATTTTGGTGCAGTTTTTCGTACAAATGGATCAATAGATCGTGTTTTGAGAGCAATGTCTTCAGTCTATGCTTTTCTCTATTAATTGATTGTATTTTACAAATCAATTCATTTTTGTTTAATTCAATTAATTTACTCATTGTTTGGACAATCGATACGTGAGTTGTGTTCAGACAAAACGCGGCACACATTCAGTGCCCCAACAGTCGACTCATTCACTCATTGGAGTCAATACAACCACATTTCAAGACATCATTCATTGGTGAGTGAGTGAGAGGTCACGTGTCGAGGGGTTGTGTTTACCATTTGGCGCGGTATTGCTTTCGCTCACTCTTTACCACACAATCACCGCAACTGATCCGCAACTCGTCCACCGGTGATGTCTACTATCACACAATTCAAGCCATTTGTCTGCGCTCTCAAAGCCAACCAAAAGACGTTTCGTTGCGACCAATGTTTCATAAGGTCTTCATTTGACACTTAAATGTAATTCAGATTTAATTGTTTTGTTGTCTTTAGTGTCGAAAAGAGCATTGAATGCCACAAATGCCAGAAGTATTGGTATTGCAGTCAATCATGTCTTCGCGACCATTGGATTGTCCATCAGTTTGAATGCGACTCAAAACACGGTTTACTGGATGTGATCACCAATAAGTGTAACGCACCGGCAGTTCGTGAAGAGTCCGATTGGATTAAATTCAGAGATTTGGATGAATTGGTGACACAAACACTGCTTTTGTTACGCATTTTGTTTCGTCTCAAATCAGATCCCAAGTGTGCGACCAATGAGTTGTCAGCAGCCGATGGATCGCTCGTCAGTTATGATCTGATTGTGGACCAGAAGTGTCAACAAATGCATAAAGTGTGGGACGAGGAGGAGTTGGAGGCCAACGATCCGGACGTTAAGGTGGAACTGATTGATGAGATGACGTACAACTTTGGCGCCTGGCTTTCGGTGGTGAGAGAAGTGTTGGATTTGAGTTGTATTAAAGACAGGATCGGATCCGTTGAAGAACACGTCTTAATGAAAGCCTTCCGAATTGTAAGTTTGCATTTTGTGACCCAATTATCACTGATTGTGATTTGCTTTGATGAACAGGTGGTTCGCAATACTCTCTATGTCTGTGACACCACTTTCCTCAATGAGATCGGAAAAGCCATTTATGTCGAGATGTGTTTCATTAGGCACTCATGTGTCCCGAACTGCTGTCCACTCTTTGACGGCAATAATGTGTTAAATTTGCGTCAATTGGACAGCAATTTGACAAAATGTGATCTTCGGTACGACTTTCAGATAGAAATGACTGGATTTCCGGCGCAAGAGTTGTTTGAAAGTCTGTTAATTCGTGACATAAAATGCGATTGCATTAAGTGTTTAACGAATTCAAAGCAATCTTTGGTTAATTTGCATAAAAACGTGACGAACGCTAACCTAAAGTACGGCAATTGGCCGACACTTGACTACTGCCACGCGATGTCCGAACCCATCGACGAAGCGCTCGAGAACTTTGTCAAAATGTATGGCAAATATCATCCATGGATTACAGCCTTATTGTTGTGGAAATTCAAAATTGAATGGAAGTTATATAACTGTGAAGACGATCACGAGATCACTGGTCAACGACTGTTTGCTTCATATCAAACACTCAAAGATGCCGTAAATATATGACAAAAAGTGTTTCAATTGTACTTATTATATACCTCTGCTTTAGGTGTCAGTAACTCATGGTTTTGGTCACATTTGGTCTTTAAAATTGGATTCAATACACAAAACGATGAAACTCTTCGACAATGATTTGAATAGTGATTCTATAAGTTCTGAGATTTTTGATATTATTGAGAGTACTATTGAGAAACTAATACCGCAATCAGTCATCGATCAAAAATTAGCATAAAATTACTGTTGAATTATTAATTATTTTATCATTTATTCAATTAATGAATTTGTGAATCAATTTCTGTGTTTTGTATTCATTGAGTTTAATGTATTAAATGATTATTTTTATTAACGGTTTTGTGTTTAACATTTATTTGCTAGCATTTAAGTGAAAAATACATCAATTTATATGTTAAGCCAATTGGCTTAGAAACTTATCATAGATTAGTTACTAATCATTAGTCAATCATAAAAACAATGGTGAATGTTATGTTTGAAGAGTTTGACCATTTCTGGAAACACATTCCATACAAATCAAATGATTATATTAATATTATTGGTAAATTACTAAATTAGTAACCACTGGTAATACTTTAATATTAGAACTCAAATAAGTGATAGTGGTGCGTTTAACCATCAACGGGTGATCATTATTTTGAGTTTGTTCAGCGCCTAACACCGGGCAAGCAGTCGATATTGTATGAATCGGTTATAAGGTAGGTCCGATCGTACATGTACAAGTAGGATGACCAACTCCCATTTTAGAAAAAGAGAGCTTTTATAGGACTTTTAAAGGACAAATGGGGAAACATGTAATAATCATAAATGACAAATAAAGGACACAACATTTTACATTGATTTTAATAGCTCAAAATATTCCCAAATAAAGGACTGTTATCTAAATAGAGAACAATTGGTCACTCTATGTACAAGTTTTCGAGTTGTGACTATTGGCAATCTAATATTTGCCAATTTGCTCAAATTGTGACTAAGAGGTTGGATTGATGTCATTAATAAAAAGACAATTAAATCAATTTAGTATTAAAATGATTACTTGATTTAATGTGATTTAAATATGGCTTATTGATGACATTTATTCGGACCTCTCTACTAAACATAATCGGGGTTATATTGTGGGACACTTAGTATTTTAAACTAAACAATGAATTTAAAAACGAATGAATATTGCGTTGAAAGTGTCAAAAATCGATCCAAACTCTAATTTATACGTTTTTATGCACAGAATATTCTTGTATTGCATTTTCAGCATTGTTTGCATTTACAGTATTCTATGAATAATGAATTTCACATAAAACATACTTTTGTGACAAATGTATGAAAATATATATACTTTCGTATTATTATGTAAGAAAACATTTCTCGTTTAATATACTGTATAAATATTGAAACACTTTTATATTTATACATATAAATTACTACAATATATCATTTCCATACTTATATGCATTACATTTGTTCATAAAAAAATATTATTACTGAAGCACTTCTCAATAAAACATTTCACACATTTAAATATTTTATATACCGTAATATCCCATAGACAACGCGCACCCCGTGTATAACGCGCAGTAAGAAATTTGCCAATATTTTTGAATAAAAAACCAATCGTAGATAACGCGCACCCCGTGTATAACGCGCATACCCTCTAC